GAAATCTCAACACACCTTGCGCATCTAGCTTAAAATCACTATTCTCAGACTGATCAATCCCAACCATCAAATCTACCAGTTTCACATCCAACTTCTGAGCTTCTCTGATACTGTCTAAAAATTCATTATTAATCTTCAACATACCCAACGTAACACTCTGCGGAGTAACCTCTCAAACTAAGCTCATATCCCTGAACTGCTCAATTAATTCCAACTCTTTAATCATCATTGTTGACATATGTAAAGTCTTTCGACTCAACGCATCAGCTACCATAATTATGTTGGTGCTTACCCCTCTTCTCACTGATAATCTTGTAATGAGCATTATTATCCTTTTCATAAATCCTGCAGCTATCAACCAAATCAGCAAAGACACGGATTTTCTGATATCCAATCGCCTTCTTAATCTCCGGGCGCAACCCGTTCTCAAACTTAATACACTTCGAAAACTCAGCATTTGCTTCAGCGTAATGCGGATAAAACTTAGCCAACTCAGCAAACTTGGAAGCATACTCAACAACTGACATATTTCCTTACTTCAGCTCAAGAAACTCAATTTCCTTCTTACCAAGGACATCTTCAGGAAAGTACTTTCTCAGAAATTCCCAACAGAACACGGCCCAAGTGACATTCTCACCTGCAGCTTCCAACTTCTGACAAGTCTCTAGCCACCAGTCATCAGCCTCGACTGCTAGCATATGAGTCCCATAACGAACCTTCCGCGCTGGAGTGCAGTCCATCACACGGAAGATTCTCTCAATCTCTTTCAACCACTCCAATGCTCTGTCAGGATCATACTTTCCCTTGAACGTAGGTGGATTCTCTCTCTGGAAAGTCGCCAAGCTACGAGATCCAGCATTCCCGTCAGCATTCGGATGATTCTCCATCACATGAGCCATTGCTTCTAAAGCAGCAGCAAGTGCAACATCATTCCTTCCAGCCATCTCAACTTCTCACTTCAACATAAACAATGGTTATAACTCAAAATAACAATACTCGATTGTTAGACAACTACGACTCGACGACAAGGTCAGACCAACCTTTTACTCTGATACCAACTTTGTAACATCCCAATTCTACCCCGACAAATTATATAAATAAATCAGAGTTATAAAATTCAATCATGCAAACGAATCGGGACGTCACAAATTCTTCTATAAAAAATTCATTACATTCATCGTGGATATATAACACTTTCAAAACATTGGATGAACCATCATAACATCTTTAATTAAATAACTCAACATCTACGCAACAAAATTCTTAATAACATCTTTAACAACAATACATCAACTTCAAAATAGCACATATTTAATAATAATCAACTTAAAGTCCAACAACTGTAAATCAACAATAAAAAACAGCAAGCGTTTACCCCTCGAGTGTTACATATCAGAGCAATGACACCCACTCGAACTACCGAAGGTATACAACCTTCACTCTCGATTACCTACATGTTACCAATATAAGGGCAACATTCAAACAGAAGGGGTGAGATATCTAACATTATAATAAAGCGCATGATAATTAATATATTAAATTAGATCAATAACATCACCACTTCTCATCTCATAATCAACAGTAATTACAACGTATATACACATTCATTAACATCAAAATACACTTCTTTATGCAATCATATAATGCGACTCAATACTATGCAAATGCATATGGTACCATTGGAGCAGAACTCTCATCTCAAAAATTTGCCAATTAATAGAGGCATCAACAAGGCATAAGCCTTCATCTCAAAATTCGCCAATACAGGCCATCTCAACGAGCATAAGCTCCATCTCAAAAATGAAATGTATGCGACACAACCATGAATGTAATAACAACATCTCAAATTAACAACATCTCAAAAGCATCTCAATTTAACAAAATCTCAAAAGCATCTCAATGTCTCTTCATCAACATCTCATATCATCATAATAATTCATCAAACATCATTTATTTATTATAAATCATCAACACAACATCATTAATAACTTCTCACTAACAACTCAGATGTACATTAATACCACAGTAGTTCATACTGCTATTCTGTAATCCTTACATCATTACTGTCACTAATCATATTGTTATAATTCAAACAGCAGCCTCTAGGCATCTCATCTTCATTATTCTGTACAAAACCAACGCAACGACCAACACAACTTCTGACCAACACAACTTCTGACCAACACAACTTCTGACAACACAACTTCTGACAACACAACTTCTGACAACACAACTTCTGACAACACAATTTCTGACCAACACAACTTCTGACAACACAACTTCTGACAACACAACTTCTGACCAACACAACTTCTGATCAATACAACTTCTGACAACACAACTTCTAACCAACACAACTTCTACCATCAGAACTTCTACTTTTTACTAATCATACTATTTTGATTCTTAGCCTGATATCAACTTAACTAAAAGCAGTATGACTAACTCTATCCCCAATTTAATTAAATAGGCATACCCCTTCTCCTTGCAGTGTGCCACTCGACACTCTTTATCATCACCATGTGCCTTGCACATTCCTTTCCTAATTTTCCCAGTACGTTTAAACACAGTATGGTATATTAGGATTTTAGTTACTTTTTACTACCTATACATGTATATATGTGATATCACATCACTAAAGCTAGTACACATATATGTATTCACTAGCTGCAAATTAATAGTATATGGTAGTAAAATCATTTGGTATATTCTAACTACTTTATATTATAATACATGGGTACCAGTAATTAACTTTCTCTGTTATCCTTCACGTAGTCTCGATTACCAATATCCTTCTTAATTCCAACCAATACCACATATATTTTACCGAAACTTAATAATTATACTAACCCAGAACAATTTTTTCGACAATTAATTAACCTCAATAATTTCAATATCAACCCACAACAATCAAACACAACCAAAAACAACAATTGATCCATGGAAAATTCATATACCTAATCCCACATATCAAACATCGTGAACCCAATTATAAAGTCGGAACCCCACCCTTACCTTGGATTGAAGGTCGCTCTATAATCTTCCGGTTGAATTCTCGTTCTGCCGGTTTTCCACTTTTCCAACAACTTGCACGTTCTCCTCTCAATCCTTATTCTTCTACTGCTTCTTTCTTTCTATTCTTTTCTTTCTAACAACAATAAAATAACCCTATTATTCTTTATTTCTTATTGGGCTCAAATTAATACACCCCCTTATTACTTTTATTCCTTCAAAAACAAGCTCACATCCAATAATATTATAATTCTAATATTATTTCTCCACTTAATAAAATAAATCCAATTAATCATAACACATCTTCACAAATATTCCAAAAATAATTTAATTAAATAATTAATTAAATTACGGACGTTACACTTTCGGTGAACTCGGGAAAAAGGATATGCTGCCCTTTGAGTGGTGTTCAATTCTATTTTATGAGTGTCTGTTCACCAGAATAAATATGTGTTTGTCTGTGTGAATTTGAGATGGTCGTATTGAAGTACTTGAAGGTTTCCCCTATCTGCTTTAGTCAAGCTTTGGGACTTATATAAATATTTTCTAATTTTGGGCCGAGTATAGGTCTTGGAAAGCTCCTCCTCGGTTATTTTTCAATTTATTCCATGTTGTACATACTTTCCAAAATGATACCCAAGATCAAGGGCTTATTGAGCTTTGGCGGCGGTTTCCCTTGCTCGGCCCTTTCATTGAGGGCTAGGGTGATTTTCTGATGCACTTTGTACTAGTTAGGCCCCATACTCGAGAGGCTCAATTTGTTGAAACAAAATTTATTTATACCATATCTCTTAGGTTTTGAAGATAAAAAAGTATTTAAAGAAAAATTGAGTAGACTAATGTGTGTTCAAGTGTGCAGGTACAAAGATTAACATTATGATTGAAAGTCAGTTTTAAAACTGCATTGAACATTCTAAGAAAAGCTCTTAAGAGACAGACTCTGAAGACCAGACTCTGAATAATCAACTTCTGATTAAGTTATCTTCTGATGATCAGAACCTGAGGTCTCCAGACTCTAATCAAGTCAGCTTCGGAAGATCAAGCCAATCTCTGAAGAGTCAGAGTCTGAAATATCAGAAGCTAAGACTCAGACTCTAAAGGTCCATAACTTGAACCCAGTCAAAGCTCAAGGACTGAGGATTTACTGATAGGTCACTATCATACTTTGAAGTCAATATGTCATGTTTTGGCCACGTGAAGCCTTAGCAGAAAGTTGCAGAAGCCTGGAGATTTACAACTGATATTTCCTTTTGTAGCAAAAGAGTTTAAAATGGGATTGCAACGACATTAACCATATCAGGAAGCTTGGATTTATTGATGCTTATCTCAAATACTTTCTAATGCTTGAAGTCATCTCCAACGACTCTTTCATGAAACTCTATAAAAGAAGCTGAAGATTTGGAAAAACATATAACACTACGACTTGACAAGAAAAGAGACTCTGTCAAAAGAAAAAGCACAAGGTAAATTAGAACTTCTCAGTAATTGTACATTCTTATAAGTTCTTAAGTATTAGAGTTTTCTGTGTTGTATTTTGTTTACACCTTTTGTTATATATCAAGTGTAATTATCACTCTATCAATATTATTTATCTGTTAGATAGATTGTTAGAAGTCTCTTATTTGTGTGCTTGAGCAATTGGAAGTCTCTTGCATGCATTTTTAAGCATTTGAAAGTCTCTTTCTTGTGTGCTTGAGCAATCAAAAGTCTTTTACTTGTGTGCTTGAGCATTGGAGTCCCTTACTTGTGTGTTTGGGTATTGGAAGTCTTTTGTTTGTGTGTTTGAGAAACTTGTAATCAGATTTAATTATAGTGGAAATCTCTTAGAAGTGCAAGAGAACTAAACTATTCTTGATTTATAGGAGGAACCTAGATAATTGCTCGTGTGCTGTCTTGTTCTCTTCTTTATTTTTGTTCAATAATAGCTTCATTCATCAGGGAAAAAAAAGAAGAAGAAAAAAAAAGTTAACACAATTCAACCTTCATTCATGTGTTTTTCTCACCTTCACACTTTGCCATCTGCTATAGCCCCACCAAATCATCTTGCTATTGCAAGAACAGGTTCCTGAAATATTGATTTTGAACTCATTTCCGCTCTAAGCCACATTCTTACAACATAGAATTGGATTCCCACTCTGCAGAAGAAGTCATGATGAAAAAGGACTTTGAGTCTCTATGTCAGGGGTCGGTTATGAAGAGGGGTTTAGCCCTGGGGAAGTGTCTTCTTCCCTTCAGAGGAAAAAGTTAATTGATACATGCGCTCTTGTGAGTGTGGATTATCGCTCGTAGCAGAAATAAATATGGTGAGGGCGGAGTCCTTGGGTTTTTCTTTTACCATGCTTATTTCTACTTTGTAGATATAATGAATTGTTTGCTATTGGCTATACACAGGGCATCAAACATGGTTCAATTGGTTGGAGTGTTACGCCTCATTTGTTGTCGAGACTACCACAACCTCCCTAGGATACTTGGAAGGGGGAAATGTGAAGACATGGGTCGTAAGTGCTCTAAGTTTCAGGATGAGATAATTGCTCTCTAGGAAAAAGATTGATGCGTTGAGGATATCCAAGAGGAGGAAAAGATCCACGGATCTTCCACCATCTTGGCTTCCCGGGTTACGGAGCTGAAGTCTTCCTTAGAAGCAGGGAGGAAGTTCCACCAGGAAACATACGTTGTTGTTATGAAGGTGAATCGTCGTGCTGAGGAAGCTCAAACGTTCTTCAACGGGAGAAGGTATCTCGTGCTAAAGACCAGAGGCTTCATGACAGCCAGGTGAATGATCTGAATGAGAGATTCAAAAGTCTCTCTAGAATAATTTAAAGAACATGTACGTGGACCTCGACCAGGAATTCGAATAGGCTAAATAATTCTTCTCAGATGACCATATCCTCAACACTGAACTAGATCCTTTCAAGATTGTTCTAGATGGGGCTTTGGTACAAAATCGGGGCGCGACGTTCGAGAGCGAGGAAGCCTGGTTTTTATTTTTTCTCATTTCATGTAATGTTAGTTGGACTTTCATGTATTGGCAACAATGATAATATTTATCGTTATTTAACTATATGCCTGGTGCTTTTATTTGGATTTTGTGCTTGATATATTTCGTTTATTTCTTTATGGTTGTCCATCCCAGTGTGGGGGTTGTTGGTCTCCACATTTTAGTTCAATTGGAGAATTCTCGTTGCATCATGACTTACTCTCCATGTCTATTCTTTTGGACTTGTTCGCCTTGTGTGCGATACTAGCGTCTAATGTGTGTGTCAAACTTTGTAGAGTTTCATCGTTACTAGATGTGATTGGGAAGAGTTAGTGTCCTTCTTAAGCATCACTAGGAATTGTCTCTGACTAAAGTTAAGGTTTATATCCCTTTCCCCATGTTTGACATAGTTCAGGGTGGAAATCTCTGAACTCCACCATTTATGCTATTTGATTGGCTAGTTCCTAAGAAGGGATACGCCAGCTACATTTAAAGTGTGTTCACCGAGTGTGGGATCTGCTTCACAAGAGTGGCTTACACCATTTTGTATAGGGTTATAATACCCCTTGTGTTTGCAACGTCTCATAGTTAGCATATTAATTATTGAAATTGTCTAAAGGTTTACTTAATACTTATCTCGCTGAGAAAGTCAAAACACGAGTATATTTTACTTCTTTTTTTACTTGCTCTTTGGATGACTGTGCAGTCGGGGGATGCCACAGTGGATGTATTTATCAACCAGCCTTGTTTTACTAGAATGTGTTTTTGGTGTCATGGTCGGGGTCCTCTCTTTAGGTGTCTGGTGGATATGTCAACATCTCGGGGATCCCATCTACGTATCTTTTGTATGAGGGCGACGTAAGGAGGGTGACACCTTTGTGGTTATCCTGCTTATCCATGCATGTGGAGGTTAGGCCATCTCTAAGTACCCAGATTTGGATGTCTCTTAAATACTGTCGACAAAGTTATTTTCCCTTTTCATCTATTTGTTTTTGGTTTGGCGTTGATCTCCAACGAGCCTCCAAAGTTTGGTTAATAATGTGTTTGAAAGAAATGTTGAAGGATACCCTTATGGATCTAGTCAGACTAGCCTTTATCTGGTGTACTCCGAAATTACCACTGGATAAGGGATTAGATTTCTTGAGAGCTTATACATTTCTTCCTAGTCATCATTAATCGAGTCTTGTTTCTTCTCAGATGTAGTATTTGTGCGCGAATTTTTGAAGTTGGGCGTTTATCTTTTTACGCCAAGTCTAACAAAGATGTCTTGGATGGTGTTCTCACATTGTCGTGCTAGGAACCTGCGAGCGTCTTTCGACGCCAATTCTCGCCTGCATGCTCTTTTTCTTAGTGGTGAGCATGACCAATCCACCATTATATATATTGTTGTTGGCTCTTTCTGTTTGAGGGTGTGAGCTATGGTACACTGCAAGTGCAAGCTCGTGAATTTTCAAAGGTTGTGGATCTTCTCCATCGGATGTATTCAAATTTGATTGTTGGAGAATCGGTTGCTTGTTCGTGCCAGAGCAGAACTTATTACAAGAGATCCATCGCCCACGAGCTATCTCATAGGTGTTTCGTCGGTGATAGAGACTACAAAAACCAATTGTACCTCCACACTTTGATTTTCTTCTCGTTTCTCGAACAACCTGGCGTTATTTGATCCTCGTTTTGCAGTTTGGAATCGCTTGTTATTTGGAAGAAGTGTTATGATTACGCATCATTGTCGAAGTTAGTGGCATTGTGGATAACATTGATGACGATCAAATACGATGAAATAAAATTGGAGTATCTAACCGATCTCCTTATAGTGAATCGCTCATTTATTGTCTTTCTCTCTCGATTCAGATAAAGATCATATTTTTAATCGAGAATGATCTACTTTTGGAATTTAGCAGGAATTATGAGTCAATTCTCATAGATTGCGTCACTATTTCGTTTTGGAATCATAATTAGTGTTGATTGATAGTATATGATCTTGAGTGGGTGGTGTTGATCACCGAAACGGCGGTGCAGGGTGAACCTACATGTTTAGAATTCCAAAGCCCAAATTAGTTTAGTATTCAAAATGGATGTAGTAAAAGTGTAAATCGAAATAATGTCTCTTGAGTGACATGTGTGGAGACTTTTATATATTGTGTCGTTTGGAGTGGACTGGAATTGGATTGGACCTAGGCTTTAGGGTTTTTGGCTGACCCATAACACATTATATTACTTTAAACTCTAATCAATGCACTCATCTTCCAATGATTATATTATTTAGTTGTGGTGACCACTAAGACCGTGCATTTTGTGCAGCGCTTCTTCATGTTTTTAATTATAGTTTTTTTTGTCCTTTCACTTAATGTTGGGATTTACTTTGGTCTTATAATTTTAAAAACAAAATCTATTTGATTTTCTCAAATGTTCAAAATGGATCACCTTTATTTATTTTTAGTCTAACTGTTAGTTAAAGTCAATGAATTACCATATGTGACACTTAAGTGGAATCCATAATAACTGTGTAATTTTATTTTGGCAAGGTGTAAGCCACATACATTTCGACCTATATAATCATACAAAAAACACCAAGTATCAGAATTAAACATTGTAGAGGGAGACACGAGCAATTGAATAAAACACATTGACGAACACAAAAAATGTCTAAGAATGGAGGAGGAGTATCAGTGTTGAAATGTGATTCAGATAAATGAAGTATTTTTTTTAAATGGTAAGAATTGTAAAAGAATTGTGATATAAATAAGTGGGTACTATATGGTATAAGGATCCTACATATGGTATGAATATATTGACTGATGACAAAAGTGCTTATAACGTTGTTGATTCATCTAAGATTCTTTGTCACGACCTATGTTCTTTGATAGAATTATAGTAGAAGAAGTTATGGATGTTGTCAATATTGATAAAGAGAATCATGTTTTCAAATTATATGAAGAACTTGTCATGAATGACCAATAAGATTAAATCAATATGGAAGATAACTAGGTTATATGGATGATCAAGAAGCTGAAGTGAATGACGAAAAGGTGTATGTTGAAACTTAAGGAATTAATGATCAAGAAGATGTTTTATCATAGGTTGAAAATGACCAAAACATGAAGGCAAACATGAATGATATATAAAATGATGAGAATGATCTATAGAATGACTATAAAATGATGTGAATGAAGAAGAGGTTTATGTTGGTACTGAAAGTGTGATGATAGTGAAAATGTGGAGTTTTTTTTTTTTGCAATAACTAGGTATTAAATTTTTTTCGCAAATAACCATGTTTTAAATGACTCTCCAAAGGAGGAGCCATCTCACTTGGCGCCTCCACCAAACTTTTTGCCCTAGGCGCCATCTCACTTGGCGCCTCCTCTCTCTTTTAGCCAAGTGAGATGGCGCATGCACTTTAAAAGTGAGAGGAGGCGCCATCTCACTTGGCTCCTAGGGTAAAATGTTGTTTTTATAAATAATTCATCCGTTTCTCCGTCATTTCTCACACTTTCTCGCACTGTTTTATTATTTTTTACTCTGTTATTTGCGTCATGACATCGCCCATGATTTTTATCAGAGATGATTACGTTATCTTCTCCGCCACAAAACCTGCGATGAAAATGAAATTCTGGCACATTCACTCCATGGAGCGTCTGAAGCGGGAGTTGATGTGATGACTAGATGAAGACATTGTGGAGGGGGGGGGGGGGGGGAATTCGAAGGATCCAGCGAAGACGAACAACAACCTCACATGCGATAGGAAGACCTAATGTATGGTTGGAGGAAGTCAAAACAGACAACAACGTAATGTTGATGATGCATGGGTCAGATGAAATTGTTTTAACAGTTGTAATTTCGTAGACGGAATATCGTGTTTTTTTTCTTGTACGCGTAATGTTTATTGTAGCAAATACTGTTAACGAAAAACCCTAATGTTTACAACATAATTAAGGAAAGATTTTATGTAATATAATTTTTATGTGGTCGAGGCAGACGCTCGATTCAGACAATTTTTGCGATTATGTCCGACCTGAAGGCATAAACCACACTTTCTTTCCAGCTTGTCAAGGGAGTCCATTTCGGTTGTGATGCACTTACTTTTGGGATGACCCTTCTTGTTCCTTCGCATTTGGTCATTGTGCCACACTATTTCGCCGTCGTATGCAGGCCAATAATCTGGTTTTGCTACCAAAGGAAAGTTGTTGTTGTAAACGTTGAGCAACGTTTCAGATTTGTAAATGTGTGACAGAACTTGTAGCGCGTCTTGATGGGTATAAGCACAAGCGGCAATGACATGAGAGCAAGACATACGAAAGGCTTGAAACTTGCCATAATCGCACCAACGAGAAGGTAGTACAACCCTATATTCTTGTCTTGGCAGGCCCTCGTTGTGGTCGACTGTCTCTTTCATAATGAAGTTGTGGCTGTGTCGGTCAAACCGTATAACCATATGAGTGTTGGCTTTGGCACTTTCTGCCGTAATGTACTTCATGCAGCTTTCACTCCATGGTTGTCCAGATTGCAACACCGCATTCCATATTTCACCTCTTTTGGTAAACAACGAAGTCATCCTAAAATACGTAGATTTTACCAAAACAGTGATCAGGAGGTTTCGTATGCCTTTGAATACCCCATTCATCGATTTAATTAGATTTGTTGTCATGTGCCCCCATCTTTGGCCATTATCGTATGACCTAGTCCATTTTTCCACCGGTATATTATCGATCCACCTACCGGCTTCCGGATTTGACAAACGGATCTCGTTACGGTAATATTTGAACGTGGGTTGTGTCAATGCATATCCCGTATTCATAACCACT